TACCTTTCCGCTTTTCCGCTCTTACGCGCTTCCGTTTACCGTTTACATTTTCCCTGCGTGTAGTGATGTCGATTTTATCTTGGCATGATCTATTATGCAGGCGCTTCTGGGAGGGGCTAAGCCCTAGCCAACAATTGTTTATACAAAATAATGAACGTAAGCAATAATTACAGCCGAGCTGCGTAGCTTATAATTTGGCATATGGATTGATCAAGCCGATGGCTCCCACGCGCCGTAACTGTAAACTATTAACTGTTAGCTCAAGGACTGTAATTTGAATGAGTAAATAGAATTTCCCTGGGCTATAAAAGTGCGTGCTGGCACCCGTTCAGCTGAAAGTCGAGAAGGAACGCCCGACCATGCCGCTGGCCAAGATGGATAGCTTCATGAAGTATGCCAACTTCTTCTACAAGTGCGTTGGCATTGAGCCCTATTCGAGCCACGAGCGCCCCAAAGCAGCATCAGCTTGGATTACCTTTGTGTTTTGGGCAAACATCGTTAATGTGGTCTTTATAATGATAGCCGAGTTCTCTTTTGTGGTGAAATCTGTCGTTGACAAGGATATTGTGCTGGCCGTCATGGTCATGTCCTACGTAGGCTTCATTGTGGTGGGCCTCAGCAAAATGTTCTTCGTTTGGTTGAATAAGGCGACACTCAGCCACATCGTTCGGGACCTAGAGGATTTGTTTCCCCGCGACAAGCCCGCGCAGGTTGCCTGTAAATTGGATTATTATTTGAACTCCTGCTCCCGCATCAGCTTCATGTTTTCCATGCTCTACTCCGTGGCCATCTGGACGTTTAATCTGTTTAATCTCATACAGTACGTCATCTACGACTGGTGGCTGCAGACGCGTATTGTTCCCGAAACGCTGCCTTATCCCGTCTACGTACCCTGGGACATGCGGCACGGCTTGAAGTACCTGCTGATGTTCTTCAATCAGAACTTTGCTGGCTACACCTCCGCGGCGGGTCAGGTGTCTACGGATCTGCTGCTCTGCGCCGTTATCACCCAGATCATCATGCACTTCAACTATCTCTCGCAAAAGTTTGAGGATCACCAGCTGACCGGCGATTGGGCGCAGGACTCGCGCTTCCTCTCCGAAGTCGTGCACTATCACAATCGCCTGCTACGCCTCTCCGATCAGCTGAATGAGATATTCGGTGTCCCTTTGATATTGAACTTTCTGATCTCCTCGTTTGTGCTCTGCTTTGTGAGCTTTGAATTGACCGTGGGTGTGACGCCCGACGAGGCGATTAAACTGCTCTTGTTTCTCGTATCGTCCCTGAGTCAGGCCTACTTGATTTGCCATCATGGACAACTGATAGTTGATGCGGTAATTGCATAACCTACTATATACTTGCATATTTACATACATACATATGCGTATGTGTATGTAACATGTTCATTTACTTGCTCATCTTCATTTGTTTGTGCTAGAGCAACCTTTTTCCCGTCTCTTAGCTGCGCACTCTGTCTCTCTCACTCCAACTCGTTGCCTTGCTATGCAGACGTGAGACCCATTTGTGGGTCACAACTTGTGTCTCATAAGGCCTAAGAAGCAAGAGCGTAGAAGAGAATCACGGACAAATTACGCAGCACCTCTGTTTTATTCTGTCACTTCTTTTCATACTGATTGCACATTAGATTAGAGATCGCACTTTACTGATATGCATAAATTTATATCACATTGAACACAATTATTAGCTGCATTAACACGAGAAAAACAGTGTTCGAATTAAAAATGAGCAACATAAATATGTTCATATGTTTACTCAGCATTGTTGAGGGACACAGAAGCTTAGCCGAAACGGCTTGAATGAAAGAAGGCGCTCGTATAGGACTCGTAGGCAGAATATTTAGCCGAGCAACACATACAGACACAAATATTCTCATACGTGTAGCACGGGATCATATGTTAGTGTGTGTCGCGAAAACATATTCTTAAAGCGCATCAACAGTTTCATACCTTTCATATGCATGGCAAATCCTTGCAAGAGTTCGATATGCTTTTTACTCATGAGGAAGAAATTGGATCGTCACGAACAAATTTTAATTTAGTGGAAGGGAGCATAGAGAGAGTCTGAGACAGAGAGAAAGAGAGAGAGAGAGAGAGAGAGAGAGAGACAGAGTAACACAAAAGCAGCGCATGGCATATGAAAATGTGATCATGCCACAAGCGACCGAGCCTAGCAAATACGAAGTAGTTTATGCAAAAAACAAGTAAGAACGCTGCAGTCGGGCGTTACCGATTTATACTCATTCATATCCCAAACGCAGTCAACTCAAGTTTCAAGTTTCCCATTAAAATTGAGCAATCATCGATAGCTATTCCCTTTTAAATCTAGTACATCTTTGCAGCTACGATATTCGAATTTTTACTGTAGTTTTGTCAGATAACGCTCTGTTATTAATTTGTATACCCTGAACCAATTGAAAATGGGAAATCAGGGTATAATGGTTTTGTGAAAAGTATGAAACAGGCAGAAGGAATCATCGCAGACCCCATAAAGTATATATATTCTTGATCAGGACGACGAGCTGAGTCGGTATAGCCCTGTCCGTCCGTTCGTCCGTCTGTATGAGCAAAACGATCTCAGAAGATATAAGAACTAGAGAGCTGAAATTTGGCATGCATACTCGTGTATGCCACACGCACGTATATCATATTTTTTCGATAACTCATCCGATAACTTTTTTATCGAGAATAATCAAAAAATCGATTTTGTTTTATCAGCCTAATTTGAACACTTTTAGACCTGGGACTTCAAATTTCCGTTGTATACAAAGTTAATGGATATAAAGATTTTGTAATTTACAGATTTTGGATACCACGCCCCCTTCGCCAATTTGTAAAAAACGCATTTCAAGTACTAGAGACATGTGCTTTGGAATGTACAGATATATTAACCATATGATCACCCTCTAAAAGTTTCATTAAGATTCCATCTACAAAAGAAACTATTCAACAATTAAATTCTCATAATATTTCCCACACTGCAGCGCAGCCCAAGCCCAGGCGCTGCTAACTGCGCAGTCAGCAGAGCGAGTAATACACGTGCATGTGCATACATGTATATGCATGTGTGCATAAAAGGAGTGCAGAATGAGTTGAATATCAGCTTGGAGGGTTCAGGGTATCTCCCAGTGGAGCAGTCTCGACTAGAACTTTCTTGTTTTATTTAAGGCCGTAAGTTATGGCGACTAGAGCTCACTCCAACTCACTCATTCAGCTTCATATCGAATGGACTCTATGTAACGTACATTTGTTGTGAGTGAATTCATGCAACTCTCCAATTGTTACTCCTTTCCATTCAGAGCTTTAGCTTTTCTATGGCGGCCTATAATCACAACTGGACCAACGCGGATGAACGCTACCGCAAAGCTCTTGTCTTTATCATGATGCGCTCGCAGGATCCAACTTATCTGAAGGCAACTGTGTTTATACAGATCACCAGGGGCACCATGACTGATGTAAGTTGATACAGGAAATCTACTCATTTGCAGTTAAAGTATTCATGAGAAAGTCGAGCTCAATTGCAGCTCTATAAATCATATTTACCTAAACGAATTGATCAATAATGAAGTGTGTATCGATCAATATTCGTATAAATTGTTTATCTATTTTAGCTCAACTTCTTATATATCTTTACTGTATATCTTCTATACTTCCTTTAAAATTGTACTGATTTTTGTATGTCTATTAACTTTTTATTTCTGCTCAAACTTTGTTTTACAGCTGCTGCAATTGTCGTACAAATTTTTTGCGCTGCTCCGCACGATGTACGTCAAATAGATTTGCTCATCAATTATATGTATATGTATATTTATGCGTACATGGTATGCTAATTGCACGAATGCTCTACACATTCTGAATGCTTTAACTGGAATCTCGAAAAAAAAAGAAGCTGTTCAATAAAAACCAAAAAATTAAGCATCAGATATTTTATGGATTAAAACTTACAAGCCCCTGAAAATGAGAGGAAGAGGATTAGTTTTTGATGAATTATAAATATTTGTCAAAATATTCTTTAAATAAATCATACATTCTGTAAAGTAAATAACCAAAATTGTATTTTAATATGACATAAAATGTCTATTTTTAGCATATATCATAATAACTAATTTATCATATTAGAAAATACAAAGTCTGAACCCTAAAATTGTAGAAATATCACGAGACCCACAAAATATTTTATCTAATAGGAAAAAGCTTTTTTTTTATCCCATAGGTATGCATCTACATTCTTTTACAGAGAATATTTAAGGTAATACTAGTAGTATTAGTAGAATAAAATTACAGATGAACTGAAATATTTATAAATGAGAACATATGTATGTATCGCAGATTATAGTATTATTCGAGTAGAATATCTTATCGATATGTCGGTTCATGCATAGTATTGGGTAATATGGATTAAGTGAGATGTTAGTTAACTCTAATATCAAGTGTAGTCCTAACGAGGTTGCCAATTGGTTGCGATGGATGTAATCGAACGTGCTAGTGAAAAATCGGGGAGTTGATTAGCAAGAGGAAGAAGGGCAACAGTGCAGGAACACGCTGCACTCCACAAAATTGTGTAATCTGCAGAAATATCCAACAAATGCTTATTAAATAAAATAAATGCTTATTAATAAAATAAATAAATAAATAATTTTAATTACCATACATCAGACATATCTCAAGTGTTTCTCATACCCACTTTATTCACTTCATCTAATCTTTACTCAGATGGTATATACAATTTCCGCTTACACTTTCCCTGCGTGTATTGATGTCGATTTTATCTTGGCATGATCTATTATGCAGGCGCTTCTGGGAGGGGCTGAGCCCTAGCCAGCAATTGTTTATACAAAATAATGAACGTAAGCAATAATTACAGCCGAGCTGCGTAGCTTATAATTTGGCATATGGATTGATCAAGCCGATGGCTCCCACGCGCCGTAACTGTAAACTATTAACTGTTAGCTCAAGGACTGTAATTTGAATGAGTAAATAGAATTTCCCTGGGCTATAAAAGTGCGTGCTGGCACCCGTTCAGCTGAAAGTCGAGAAGGAACGCCCGACCATGCCGCTGGCCAAGATGGATAGCTTCATGAAGTATGCCAACTTCTTCTACAAGTGCGTTGGCATTGAGCCCTATTCGAGCCACGAGCGCCCCAAAGCAGCATCAGCTTGGATTACCTTTGTGTTTTGGGCAAACATCGTTAATGTGGTCTTTATAATGATAGCCGAGTTCTCTTTTGTGGTGAAAGCTGTCGTTGACAAGGAAATTGTGCTGGCCGTCATGGTCATGTCCTACATAGGCTTCATCGGAGTGGGCCTCAGCAAAATGTTCTTCGTTTGGCTGAATAAGGCGACTCTCAGCCACATCGTTCGGGACCTAGAGGATTTGTTTCCACGCGACAAGCCAGCGCAGGTTGCCTGTAAATTGGATTATTATTTGAACTCCTGCTCCCGCATCAGCTTCATGTTTTCCATGCTCTACTCCGTGGCCATCTGGACGTTTAATCTGTTTAATCTCATACAGTACGTCATCTACGACTGGTGGCTGCAGACGCGTATTGTTCCCGAAACGCTGCCCTATCCCGTCTACGTACCCTGGGACCCGGGGCACGGCTTGAAGTACCTGCTAATGTTCTTCAATCAGAACTTTGCTGGCTACACCTCCGCGGCGGGTCAGGTGTCTACGGATCTGCTGCTCTGCGCCGTTATCACTCAGATCATCATGCACTTCAACTATCTCTCGCAAAAGTTTGAGGATCACCAGCTGACCGGCGATTGGGCGCAGGACTCGCGCCTCCTCTCCGAAGTCGTGCACTATCACAATCGCCTGCTACGCCTCTCTGATCAGCTGAATGAGATATTCGGTGTCCCTTTGATATTGAACTTTCTGATCTCCTCGTTTGTGCTCTGCTTTGTGAGCTTTGAATTGACCGTGGGTGTGAGGCCCGACGAGGCGATTAAACTGCTCTTGTTTCTCGGATGCTCCCTGAGTCAGGCCTACTTGATTTGCTATCATGGACAACTGATAGTTGACGCGGTAAGTGCATATACCTACTACACCGTTGCTATATTTTCAGAATTCGAGCAATTTTTGCCCTTTCTTTGCCTACAAATTCAATGGGAGCACTAGTTTATGCTGCTCCAAAAATGAATTTGTTCTTTTTTGGCCCATGGTAAGTTTTGCCTAAGGACTTAAATTTGGCGCTATCTATGGTGATAAAAAATGTCTATGACAGGTTGCTTTTTCGGGAAAGAACCCGTTGATTGTCTTTTTTGCGGTTTTTGGACTTGCAGCAGTGTTGTATCATACGACTTAGCTACTAAACCAAATATTAAACTAATGCCAAAGCTCGTATCATTCTGGTTTATTTAATTTTTTTTTGTTAGTTTTGTAAATCAAAAGGTTATTTTCTTATCTACATATATTTTACTATTTACATTTTAATTTCAATGAATAGTATGTGTTATTTGCGTTTGAAGTTTTATATATGTACATACATACACATTCATGTATGTGTGTGCATACACATGTAGCATGTTCATTTAATTCCACTTTCTCATCTTTCGTTCTTGATCGAGCAAAACATACTCACAAAATTGGGATGCTTCCTCCTTTCGCCTCATAGCTACGCAGTCTTTCTGCCTCAAATGTCACAATTCGTTGACTTGCTACACAGACGTGAGATCTAGACGTGAAACAAATGCACAAGAAGGAAGAGCGTAGAAGAGAATATGGGACATACAAATTACGCAAATTAGCACCTTTCTTCTGTTTTGTCGCTTCTTTTCTTACTGATGGCACATTAGATTAGAGATCGCATGTTTCTGTTGTTGCTAGAACGCAATGATATTCATAAATGAAAAACATAAGCAATACATTTGCATTCCTCAATCAATCAGCTTTTCACCATTGTTAACCTTTTCCATTCAGAGCTCTGGCTTTTCTATGGCGGCCTATAATCAGAACTGGATCATGGCGGATGAGCGCTACCGCAAAGCTCTTGTCTTTATCATGATGCGCTCGCAGGATCCAACTTATCTGAAGGCAACTGTGTTTATACAGATCACCAGGGGCACCATGACTGATGTAAGTTGATACAGTTTCTGCAAAGTTTTCATGAGAAAGTCGAAGTCAATAGCAGCTTTATAAATCAGATTTATCTAATAGAAATTATCATTAATGAAGTGTGTATCAATTAATATTCTTATGGATTGCTCATCTCTGTTCATTGTTCATTGTTCAAAAGTTCAACTCTATGTATATTTTCTGTATTTCTTTCAGCATTTTGCTGATTTGGTTTTTTGCATGTCCATTAACTTTTTGTTTCTGCTCAAATTTTGTTTTACAGCTGCTGCAATTGTCGTACAAGTTTTTTGCGCTGCTCCGCACGATGTACGTCAAATAGATTTGCTCATCAAATATATGTATGTGTATAGTAATTGCTCAAAAGCCTCTACACATTCCGCATGCTTTTAAAGGATCAAGTCGCGCTCATGGTGCCAGGTCTTCATTATGCAAACACATGTTCATCCTCTTGCATTAGGTGGAATCTCGAAAAACAAGCTGGACAAAAAAGAATAAAATAAAATACATAAAAAAGGGACGAAAAATGGACTGTCCATGGCTTATTGAATATTATATACACTATGGGCTGGAAGGGATTTGAATGAGTCGAAATGGTAAAAACCTTATCTAAACTATTTTAGCAATATTTTAAATATCGATGGAGTGACGAAAGAAGGTAGAATTGTGCTTCAAATCAATCTTATGCTCAATATATACGTTAATTCATCAGATTATACGGTATAGTATAGTCTCAAATTTGGCTTTTATTTCACTTTTATGAACTCTAACTCATTACATAATAGTAGATATGGCATTTAAACGCTAAAAACTTTTCTATGATATAGGGTAAAGATATGACATTTAGTAGTATTTAAAGTTTTGAAGGATAGATTTTTTTTTATTATTTTTTTGTTTGTTAATAATATAAACAATAGGCAAATTTTTGGTGTTAGATAGATAGCTGGATGGCAACATTAAGTTTTTCCATGCATGTCAATATTCTTAACATATTCAAAGTACCCCTTCTGCAGAGTATAGTATATGGGAATGCCGCCTAGTTTGAGTGCGTGTTTGCTGTGGGAAGTATTCGGCAGTTGACGCTTTTGGCTTGCAAAAGTTGCATTTTATGAGTTTTCAGCAGTATTATATATTTGTTGTTGTTCCAGTTTTTGTTGTTGTCGTTGTTGTTGTTTTAATATGTTGCTCCTGCTTGGCGCACAGGATGTCGACATTTTGCAACAAAACGTTCTGATTGCATGTAATGCACTTTCTATAAACTGTGTGTGGCTGGGCGAGTGAGTGTGTGTCTGTGTGTGTGTGTGTGCTTGAGTGTGTTGACTACGCACTCAGAAATATTAGCAATTTATGCGCTGGAGTGTGCGAACTGTTAAAAAGCGAGAAACGACAGCGACATTACGAGTTGCGCGACAGTGTCGCCTTTTGGTTCTACGTCTTCCCAGCCAACCACAGAGGTTGGCACTGGCCAAGGGAATGGGAAATGGGAAATGGCTATATTATCGACAGGGCTGCCTGCTTGGCAGTTGGCAGTTGGCAGTTGGCTCACAATAAATCCGACATGCGGCGCGCAATTTGATGAATTTATGAATCACCTGCAGCTGGCAGCCCGGACAACTTGCGCCTCAGTTCACCGCCCGCTCATAAAATATATTAAAAAAAAAAAAAAAATACATATAGTAAATATAGATATATGTTCATTACATATAGAATTGTACATATTTTCTCTTTTCCAAGATATAATATTGTGTGATACTATCATATTTCATATTTATTTTCTTTGTAAAATATGTGTGTACGCTTCCATTTTGGCTGGATCTTTGCGGAGGTTTTATTTTTGGTTTTTATGAAATTTTTATAAAGCTTCATCTGTGTGCGGCAATCTTAAATTTCTGGTCACGTCTTGTGTGATTTTCAAATGCCAGCAAAAGCAACAAGCTTTTTCAATATCGCCGACGCTGTTTTGTTTGCCTGCCAATTTGTGTGCTCTATCATGGGGCATGTTTCAAAATATTCAGGCAAATCGCATAATATTGACCAGGCGAGAATCACATAATCAAAAATCGCGCTTCTAGGCTAAGTAACCGACAGTTGCATAAAACGTGAATCATAAATGTTTCAATTATACATTATAAATGTAGTATAGAGTCTAAAATATTTATATTGTATATAAGCCAAGGGAAGCCAGATGCTAAGTAGGCAGTCCACAACAAAGATGTAATTTTTATAGCTATTAAATTGTGGATAATTTAGTTTTCCTTTATTTGCATCATCCATCAATGTATTATTATATATATAATATTTTATTTATATTATGAAGAAGGAATCTAAATAACCTGGTTCTTTTATTCTCGAAGCTGTGTCTGTGCTTAAAATATGGTATTTAATGTGGTAAAGTCATTGATACATATCAATAAATCAATGTATGTTATTATATATGCGTTTTTGTTCGGATTTGCCTTTTACCCCTCATAAAAAAATTGCTGACTCTTTGAGCAGCTATCGAAAAAAAAAGAAATGAAAAAAAAAAAAAAAATTATAAAAAGAATGGAATCGCTTTTATCTTTTTGGCTTATGCACTTGCTGCTGATTGTTAAATCCACTTATCAAAACGTGCAAATAACTCAACACTCAGGATAGACACATACAGCTGACACTAACTCACACCCACACACGCAGATATGTGCGCTCACATGCATATGCATATGGCTCACAGCAGCCAGTGAGCCGTGTCCACTGACCAGTACACAAAAAACTATTGGCACTTTCAAAAAAAAAAAAAAAAAAAACAAGTAAGAAGGCTCCAGTCGAGATTGCTCGACTAGGAGATACCCTGAACCCTCCAAGCTGATATTCTAATCATTCTGCACTTCTTCTATGTTCACATACATACACATGCACTTATAAGCACGCGCTCTGCTAACTGCGCAGTAAGCAGCGGCTGCGCTTGGGCTGCGCTGCAATGTGGGCAATATTATGACAATTTATTTGTTGAATAATTTCTTTTGTAGAAATACAATCTTAATGAAACTTCCAAAACGTAATCATATCGTTAAAATGTGTGTACATTCCAAAGCACATGTCTCCAGTACTTGAAATGCGTTTTTTACAAATTTTAATTTTATAAATTGGGGGCGAAGGGGGCGTGGTATCCAAAATCTGTAAATTACAAAATCTTTGTATCCATTAACTTAATATACAACGTAAATTTAAAGACTTCAGGTCTAAAAGTGTTCAAACTAGGCTGAAAATACCAAGTCGATTTTTCGATTATTCTCGATAAAAAAGTTATCGGATTAGTTATCGAAAAAATAAAGCAAACTCGTACTGCCTATGGTATACACGAGTATGCACGCCAAATTTCATCTCTCTAGCTCTTATAACTTCTGAGATCGACGCACTCATACGGACCGAATGACGGACAGACGGACAGGGCTTTATAAACTCTGCTCGTCACGCTGATCAAGAATATATATACTTTATGGGGTCTGCGATGACTTCTTCTGCCCGTTACATACTTTTTCACAAAACCATTATACCCTGATTTCCCATTTTCAATGGGTTCAGGGCATAAAAATACCAGTAAAATTTGTAGTGGAAAGCTCTCGATTCTCTGATATCCCATAGTCGAATCTTGCTCGATCGCACCATAGACGTTAAATGTTTCGCCTTATGGGTAATGTGCTACAATCCTAAAATATATTTTGGGAACAGAGAAATATATTTTCTCAAAGTATTATCCTCAACTCATACATTTTCCAGTAGATTCTGTTGTCAGTGACTGGTCCATAATACTAAATCGTCTGAAGTAGTCAAGGCAAAATTACGTCGCGCTTAAATGAATATATTTTAGATCTTTAATTATTATTATTGGAATCTATCAAATCGAACAACATATCCTCACTATGATGGTATTAGAGTAAACCCAAGGTGGGCCTGCGACTGCCTTGTGTCCACTTCGCCTTTTTATAGGGTATTCAAATATGATACCATCGCTCAACAAACTCTGATGTATTACTGTTGCCGCAATTTGGGCTCAGCTCACTATTTTTTCAATTAGCTGCCATTAAATTGAATTCAAATATTGAAACAATATGCGATCCCTACCAACTGCCCACACCAAATGCCACGCCCCCTCAGTGGATGCACAGATTGATGTTGCAGTTGAGCTTAGCCCAGTTCTTTGGGTGCCATCGGATGATTTATTGATTTGCAGTTTGCAGTTTGCAGTTTTTCTTGCTAAAACTTGACTGCGGCAAATGTGAGTGTTGCATTGCCAGTTTTATCGCTCCGATTGCTCCACCGAAAATGTTTATAAAAATGGGTTTGGAATGTCATCAAATGGTTCGAGCTGCCATTTGGCTTTTAGAACTTTGTGCTGTGCGTGTATGTGAACAGTTCCTAAGCACTTTAATGTGTGTAAGATTGATAAATCGAAAAGTTAATTGAATATGTTGTGTGCCAATGGTCAACGATATAATATAGATAAATCTAAAAGCAGGTCAGCAAACAACAGAGCTGGAGTCACAAGGAATTGTGTAATACAACAAATGGAATGCTGACATAAATGATGGTAAGCTATTACCAATTTAGGTAATATGAGCACAGTCTTTGTTTCACATATTCATATGTCATTTTTATTTATTTTCATTAAATGTGGGCTCGACATTTGCCTATTCAAATGATTCGCATTCAATTCAAATGTAAATAGAATAGAATATAATATTAAATGGATTTCTAACTCATTACTTTTCCCGTTTACTTTTTATATCCTGAGCCCAGCAAAAAAAACACGACAAAAATAACGTAAAGTCTAGTATTCGCTTTAAGTATTTGTTCTGAATATTTTGTCTTAGTATTTCGTCTTACGAGTAATTCTTTTACGTATTTCCTCAATTTTTTTGAATGTTTTCTCTCAATATATCCTTTAAATATTTCATCCAAGCGCAGAGGAAATAAGTATTTAATATTTCTTAGTATTTCTTCAACAGACTTTCTTTAAGTATATCTTCCAAGTATTTCCTCTACGTAACTCTACATATTTCCTCTACGTAATTCCTTTCGTATTTCTTTTTATGTGTTTCCTTTACGCATCTCCCCTACTTAATTCCTTTACGTATTTCCTTTCACGCATTTTCGTCACGTATCTCCTCTACGTATTTCTTTACGATCAGACACTTCGCTTTACTGCACTGCACAACTAACCCCCACCAGATCTGGGCGACTGAAGAAATATTGCAGCTGCTGCCTTTTAAAATATAAATACCAAATGAATATTAAGCCATACATATAGACAACTTATTCTAAATTGCGTATTTGCATTGATATTTATAATTAATAGATGATCAACAAGCCAAATCTAACCTGAAATATGCTAAACTGGCAACACTGAGTCCATAATTTGATTTCGTTTTATACGCATCAGTTGAATACTGTTAGAACCGAGACTTCAGATTAATTGAGTAAGGAAATTTGACGAAAAGAAAGACTGTGTAATTTATTTGGGAAACCGATTTCAAGTGTTAGAGTCTTATATTTTGGCAAATACACTTTTCAATGATATAAAGATAGTTCTCGTATTCAAGCAATCTCGACTAAAAAGCTCTACTGGTTTTATTTCAATTTTTTTTAGTGTATTTTGCTATTATATAGTCTATTTATACCCTGAACCCATTGAAAATGGAAAATAAGAGTATAATGGTTTTGTGAAAAGTATGTAACAGGCAGAAGGAATCATCGCAGACCTCATAAAGTATATATTCTTGATCAGGACGACGAGCTGAGTCGATATAGCCCTGTC